GAAATTAGTATATAATTGCGATTATACTACTCGATAAGTAGATTTACTGAAAGGCGAATTCTTCACTGAACCAATATATATTATTTTACGGATATATATCTCCAACCCAATCATGTCCATTATTGTTTGCAAACGATCTATACTACTGATTTATAAAATAAATAGTCCAAAACCTAGGGAAACATATTTTTCCATTAAACATTATTGTCAACTAGCATAATGAATAAAATGTTAACGCATTTTATTATGAAAACTTAGGAAATAAATAGGTTGTTCATATCTAACGTCATGATATAGAAGCTCAATAGGTGAATTCAAGATCGATTTTATAGTCTTGATATAATTACTTGATAGAAAAAGCCTGATAATTTTCGTTCTACAACAGAGAAATTGTCAGTATGGGGTTGTGGAGATTATTAAGTTTTTGATTGAGATCATGAACCTATTGATGTTAGACCACCATTGAAAACCTGGAACATCGAACGGCCGTCTCGTCCTATTATGGCACTCCTCAGCAGAGTTCTAGTGAAAAGCCGTGACCAATGGGACTAAACCTTGTCGTGTAGAGACAGATATCTACCTCAGTACAATGGAGGATGGTCGCGCAATTCCATGGAATGGTTGAGGTTAGACATTAACACCCTGATTTGCCGGCTCAGTGGTCTAGTGGCTAAGCGCTCGCGCGTGAGACCGAAGGTTTTGGATTCGAATCCCACGAGCGGGACCGTGAATGTGCACTGCTGAGGAGTCTCACACTAGGACGAAACGGCCGTCCAGTGCTTCCAGGTTTTCAATGGTGGTCTAACATAAATCGGTTCATGATATCAGTCTAAAACATAGAAATTGCTAAACTTAGAAAAAATTGATTTGCTTTAAGTCAATCTCGAAAAATTTCAAAAGTCATTCATGATTTTATTGTGAAAATTTTGTTTACAATTTGTTTTACTAGATAATTTTCAAGCTACTTTAGCCTGGATACTTTTCGCACTAAGAAAAACGGAATTTCACGAAAGATTGCATTCTGTAGAATACTTAACTGGTAGAGAGTTAGTTGACTAGAAAAAAAAGTAAATCGTTGTTAAGGTCTGCTGTCATACGTAGTACCATTTCTATTAACAAACCTTAACAACTTCATTGACGGAAATCAAGAAAAGGAACAGCTGATAAGTAGAGAGTCGAGCGGAATAGATGAGTCTTTCACTTACATAACGCATTTTCTCGGAATCGTTGACATTTTTTCAATGTTTTTATCCTTGCTAAAAGTTCCAAGTTGAGTGATTTTAGAAATTATCAGGTTTTTTGTATGTATGTAATATGTAGACAATAAAACAAATTACGGTATTCAGGTAAGTAGATGATGAATAAAAACGTTGATTGTTTGTTTTTGATAAGAAGCTATAGAACCAGCGAAACCCAAAGTAATAAACATACCATCAAACTACTGTCAAAAAATATTATTGATTTAAAAACACTATTACATATTTCATATATCGCATAAATAATATTTTAATTTAAGATGGTGGTTAAAGGTAGTCAACAGGAAACCCTGGGCCTAGGTTTCGTACCATTTGGTACTCGCCAGTAAGGTGTAGTTGTAATCTTGAGGACACCGATGTTTTCTGGAGGATTCGATTCCCTGCCACTCGGCTTCACATTCAGAGACGTTACCCCTGAGCTGTCAGTGCTACAACTAACCTGTAGGACTAAGATGTAATTACAATTGATTGATTACCGGGTGGTGGTCAATGACACGTATGTCAGGTCCTAATGGACATATTTCAACTTGGTCGATAGGATTCGATCTGCACTTAGAAGGACATGACATAGATGACAATTAGAGATACAAAATTCCGGACGATTGTTAACCAGTTTCTGTATAACAAAAAACTTTATAACTGAAAATTGTTCTGAATTATATATATTCGAGACGGAGAAATGAATGTAAACAAACAATTACACTACATGATTTATTCTAATCTAAAGTGCTTCGCCAACAGGAAGTAATATAAATTGAAGTAGACACGTATAAAAAGTAGAATTGTCTATGATAACACTTTAAATTGTTTACAAGTAGATAGCTAATAAAATGGCATTCAATTTTAGATCATTTTACAGTCATATATCTAATGATTCTTGGTACCTAAAAAAGTCTGTAGGAGTAGTAGCAAAAACGAATTATATCTCAGTGTAAGTTATCATGAATGAATATAAGCTACATGATATGTAACATGTATTCAAGGAAAAAATTATGGCTATTCATATTCACATTTTAGAAAAGGAAGCTGCTATTAAGTTGGATCATATATATGTTTGATAGAAAGATGTGAGTTAAAGGAATCACACTATTATCAGTACCAGGAAAGATTTTCAACAGAGTGTTGCTGAACTGGATGAAAGATTCAGTAGACGCACAACTTCCAGATCAACAGGTCATGCACACACCGAATCGCAACACTATGGATCATCGTTGAACAATCGATTGAATAGAATTCGTCACTATATATCAACTTCCTTGATTATGAGAAAGCATTTAACAGCGTGGATTGGAGGACATTATGGAAACTTCTTCGATACTACGGAGTACCTGAGACAATCGACAATATCATCTGAATTCATACGATGGGCTACAGTGTAATGTGGTGCATGGGGTACAGCTGACAGGTGCATTCCAAGTGAGGACCGTAGTCGGGCAAGGTAGCCAACTCTCTCCTTTCTTTTTCTTCTGGTGGTCAACCGGGTTATGAAGTCCGCATCTGACGGGAAACACGGAATAAAATAGTTAGGCTGGATGCAACTAAACGGTTCGGACTTTGCAGATGACTTGGCCCTTCCATCCCATACACATTATTAGATGCAGATGAAGACAACTAGTGTACCAAAAGTCTCTGCATCAGTAGGCATCAACATACACATGGGAAAAGCAAGACCCTAAAAACAACACGGAGAACACAAACCCGGTTACATTTGTTGAAGAATCACTAGAAAGTTGTAAGGTTTCACATAGCTGGGTAGCATCATCGATGAACGTGCAGGATCCGATGCAAACGTAAATACAAGGATCAGCAAGTAAGGACAGCATTCCTACCATTGATGAACATATGGGACTCAAAACAACTGACAACCAATGTCAAAGTCTGAATCTTCAATACGAACGGCTAGACGGTCTTACTGTACGGAGCTGAAACATGGAGAACTATAACAACCTACATCAAAGCGTACAAGTATTGATAAACAGTTGTCTACGTAACATACTCAATGTCCGCTGGCTGAATAACATCAGAAACAGCCTACTGTGGAAGAGAACAAACCAACTTCCAGATGAGGAAGAAATTAGGAAAAGATGTTGGGAGTGTATAGGACACACATTGATGAAATCATTGAACGGCATCACGAGAGAAGCGCCAACTTGGAATCCTGAAGGAAAGCGGATGAGAAGAAGGCCAAAGAACACAGCGTTGAGAATTGGGAGCAGACATGAAAAAGATGAGTAATATCTGGAAAGAACTGGAAAGGAGTGTTCAAGTCAGAGTCGGGTGGAGAATGCTGGTAAACTGTGTATGCTTCTGCATGAGGGGTAACAGGCGTAAGTAATATCTTTTGATCTGTTTTTCATTATACTACAAAGCTAAACTAAGCTCAAAAAATCAACTGCGTACAGAATTTGTTCAAGAGGGCGAGAACACGCTGCAGCACACTGGCAGCACGAAGAAATGAAGAGATATACCTGAAGGATGTATTTCAGAAGAACGGCTACCCAATCAACTTCATCAAAATTTCCAACCGCACGCAGCATTAGAACTCAAGTCAAGCACAAAAATCAACAAAAGGATCACCCTACTATATATACAAAGAATATCAGAAACCGCAACAAGACTGCTGGAAACCTTCGGAATAGGTGTAGCACACAAACCGACAAAATCACTAAAACCAATCCTATGCAAACCAAAAGATGAAATAACAAAGGAAAACAAATCAAACATCATCTACAAAATAAATTGTGCCAACTGAGAAAAACACTACATCGGACAAAGCGGACGCCCCCTTCACCTGCGCCTATATGAACATCAATTAGCAGTCAAACGGCATGATATCTCCTCACTTATATCAATACACGTGGACAACTGAGGACACTCATTCGATTGGAAAAATGTGGAAATCTTAGACAGAAGAAACTCCAAAAACACCAGAGAATTTTTAGAAGCCTGGCACTCAAGTCAATCAGCAATCAACAAGCATATTGAAATCAATCCAAATTATCAACCAATCAGAAAAATCATGCACGAACATAAGAACAAAAATCAAAACAATGGGAGACACAACTAAAACAAAGAAGTAAACAATGACAAATTTTAGGTCAATAAGAACCAATCAACATCGAGGTGCACAGAACAAGCTTTGAAACATATGGAGAAATTCAAACACTTCACTTTTATTTGAAGTTTGTGCTGATGATGTCGTTCAGAAGAACGATGAAAGCTGCACGACCAAACCATCCAGCTCAGAGAACAAAACTCCACCATAAACTATTTTTTTGATATTCCCAAAACTGTATTTTCACTTTTTAATCTGACTGTATTAAACTCTTATTTCAATCATTTGTATTAAATAATTTATTGATGAACACAGTTATTATTAGCATAAGAATCTTTTGCTTAGATCCTAACTGATATTTCAGTACTATATTTGCACATAATCTTCACTTGCATCATGTTACTCTAGTGAAATTTGTGTCTAAAGCAAATTCTAACAAACCTCAATTCTAAAATCATGTTAAACCTAAATTATTTGTCACTTTCAAAACATTATTGATTGTATTCAGCTAGTGAGAAGCAGGTATATATAAATGGTCAGTACTTCACAACTAACAATCATCTGTAATCATATTTCATTGAAGACTAACATAATCAAATAGAACAATGTGAATTGCTAAGGATTCCCATACTAGGACGCAATGGCCATCCAATGCTTCCAGGTTTTCCATGGTGATCTATCTTCAACTGACTCATGATTTCAACTGATGAAATTTCTGAAATCTCCACAAAACCTCTTCTGAAAAGAATGTATATTTTGCTTAAAATTAATAATCACAAGGTTTGAAAGAGGAAAGTAATATATTGATTGTTGAGAGTTATATAACAACAACAATTAAACATCTATAATACTGTTGTAATCAAATGAATCTTTATTATGACAAGTATATAAACCTGCTCCATGTTTATCCTTGATGATTGTAAAGGAATCAATTACTTGACCTTTTCTTTCCTTTAAAAATGTTAAAAATAAACACAATAAACGTTAATTATGAACTACAGTTAAACTGAATCATTCATTGTAAAAACTATAAAAGTTCTGATCAAAAGCAAATGATATTTAATCTTAAGAGTTAAATGCAACTGTTTTGTTTTATGAAGGTTAGTTCTATTAAATCGTTGTTGATCTATAGATTTGGTGTTTACTGTTGAGTCGGCTTCCGAGAACTACAACGGTGTCTCCGGAGGCCTTAAAGGAGCCGAAGATTTCCAGCAAATCAAAACACGATGGAGCTTTCTAGAATATCAATGTAGCATACTACTATTAGTCAGTAGCATAAGATGTCCTTTAGCGGATTGGCGAATATATAATGTTGATTTAACAAATGCTAATATCTATAAATACCTTCGATTTTCTGTACACTTTGGTTATTACCAAATAAACACTTCTCCAGCTTTTCTTCTGTCTTCTGATTTGCGACGGGGAAGTTCAGCGTTCTAGTGTCATAGTCGTAACCCATATTCCATGTTAATCAAGTAGCGAACTTAACAATTACCCTATAAATTATGCAGTTTATATATTATTTCGAGTTGATTATCATTTATATGAATAAATCGATAGATTATACCATCCTGACTAGAAAATAGAGTATGATATATCTTACATCATAAAGTCGTGAAGTACGAAACAGAATATTGCAGTAAACAACATTCAGAATAGTTTTCACTAGTAAAAGTGTAGAACAAAAACCGTTCCTTTTGTAAAGGTTTATATTGTTCGCATAATTGATTAATTACAAGTTACCAGAATGTTAGGAAGCTCTTATAACAAAAAGGGATAAATGATTGACTCAAGCATCTCATGTGTCACATAAAATGATCATATAAATCAAGCTGATTTTGTCGAGACAGGTTTACCTAGTTTTGATCATGGTTTGATAGAAACAATTTTGAAACTTTCATTTCCACATAAATAATTAACTAATTAATTGAAGGTTTATTCTAAGTTGAAGCACTTCTTGATAGAATTCAAACTGTTCATTATCAGTAATCGATTGATGTTTAGTTGTAATAAATAAGAACTAATCATTTTTACATAAATATTACTAAAAAGGATAACAGTGAGTTTGTCGGTGTCATTACCAAGGTTTGGCATGATAATTTCGAATAAATTGAGCATGGGATAGATTTAAATAAAGCCAAAATAAATATTGATGCAGAATAATATGAATTCATTATATTTCGTAGTTTCTCATCAGCTGCTTACAACCAAATATGTATTAGAATTTTACATATATGTATGGAGCACATACATTGGAAGAACCGAGAGAAGAGTACATGTTCTCATTTATGAGCATGTTCCAAAGAAATTGAGGATGTGAGGAACTAGGGCTCTCAACAGTGTAATAGCTCGGCGTTTACTTCACACCGCGTATACCATTGACATTCCTTATGCTTTTAAAATTAGTTGCAGACAAAGAAATACGGCTTCTCCCCGTTTTGCCAAACTGATCGTAATAAAAAACTCAAACTGGATCTATGTATTCAAGAAGAGACATTAATAAACTTATTACTTCCCTGGTAATCCATATTTTTTTGGTCATTAGTTTTATTTTGTTAATGTTTACTTCGAGTTATATTCTTCTTCCATTACTGAATACTTAAACCACCTCTTCACTCATACATTTCCACTCACTTGATTCTCTTAAATTATGTGAACTCTTCAAAGTCTATTCAATTATTATGTAACCCATCAGTCTTGAATTTCATGAATCTTATGTAAACCCTTCATTACTTCTAAAATTATCACACAATTTATCTTATCTGTCTCTGAACTCCACTCAACTATTACATCACCATCCTTAATGTTTCTTTGATTCTAACACCAAATAACCTCTGACCTGTTCTTGCTTATATATATATATATATATATATATATATATATATATATATATATATATATATATATATATATATATATATATAGCTATCATTGATAACCTTTGTCATTCCAATCCTTTACGTTCACTTATGTCTATCGTTCCATACTATTTCTTACTTCAATGTTAAATCCTAATACATATTTGGTTGTAAGCAGCTGATGAGGAACTACGAAGCATAATGAATTCATATTATTCTGCATCAATATTTGTTCTGGCCTTATATAAGTTCATAACGGGAACTAATTTCGAGTAATTGGATGGCTTGTTATGAGGTAAACTAATATTTTTGTGACAACTCAATGAGTAGAAAAAACTAGATTTTCTGACGTTTCGTAACTCAATGGCAGCTACTTCATGTCAATCTTGAATTATTTCGATCTGTTTTTTGATTGATCGCATATAATATTCTTGCATTGTTTCCTTTTTATTATTTAAACTTGGATTAGTTTCGATTTGATCATTTATTCTATGAAGAAGTGGCTTACACCAAGTCACGAAACATCAGAAAATCTAATTTTTCTACTCATTGAGATAATACAAATATTATTTTATTTATAAAATAATAAGTTATTTTTGAGCGGTTATTCATTATTCAAAGTGCACTGCTGAAGAGTCCCATAATAGGACGAAACGGCCGTCCAGTACTTCAATGTTTAGTATGGTGTTTTAGCTTCAATTGACTCATAATTTCAACCATTGATATTATTCAAACTGTTGGTTTTCCAAACTTTAGTGATAATATTACAACTGGAGTTCATAATTATAGAATGTCAAATTTTTACTCTCATTAGATAAACTTTCCACTACCTAAAAATCGCAGGGAATAAAACGTTTGTTGTGTGTTTTCGGAGATTTTCCGTTTATCATTGAAGCATAGATTGAGCTTATGTATGAAATCAAATAGTGCAGTTAGTTTTGGTGGAGTTTTGTACTCTGAGCTGGATGGTTTGGTCGTGGTCAGAGAACAAAACTCCATCAAAATCATCCACCTGAGCTACAAATATTCTCCACCATCTCAGTGCAGTTAATGTTTATAAAGTATGCTGTTGAATATTCTTACACACATAGATTTTCTTTGAATAATACATTCTATATTTGATTAGTTGATAAAAGATCATTTTTATGGTAGGAAATAAACAAAACTTATTTTGCCCGTTGAACTCTTTACTGTGATCGAACATATCACTGGTAACTCAGCTAAAAAGTATTTTTCTTTTGGTGCATCATCCCCTGCATAAAATAAACATATTAATAAACTTCCTAGTATGTTATCCATTTGAGTCAAAGTTTGATACAGTCAGTTAATAAACTTTCAACATGATTTATTTAAGGATTTATCTACAGTTCACTTCATATTACCAGGGTTATTTCAAGTTGATGACGAAATGATTGTTTCATAATTCCAACTTGATATATCAACCGATAGGCATCCTACTTTGTTATCTGGAAATACACATAAGAAATATTAATTAATTTCAGTATTTAAATAAATAAGAGAATAATATTTACATTTTCCACTGAGATTTGTTCAATTTCTAAGTGAGTAACGTTATGTATCGTCATTCTAGTAAATCCGAAATCAGTTGTTCGAAATGCTGACCAAGGTTTCCCACCATATATAAATGTATCTTTACCTTCATTTGATCCAGCAGCTCCACTAACAATATGTATTGGAGCGTTTGGATTATTGTATGGATTTTGACTTGTTGTAGAATTACAAACCTGAAATATGAACATTTGATTAGTGATAATACAGAAAAATTATTCAGTGTTATTGATTTAATCGATTTTATTTATTTGGACTAATAAATATTGGTACAAAGGTGCACCAAACAGATATGCGGCACATAAAGTATCCGATTTTTGTGAGGGCTGAGATACTGTACGGGTACCCACACCGAAGCAGGTGGTCTTCTTAGGGGGCCACACCTGCAGCCTTCAACCTAAGGGAGTTGAGCGACGTCAAGAGATACAGTCCCATGGTAGCAGGTGACTAACAATTGGTCCATACGTCATTTATTGCCTCACGATCCTGGAGCCCATGTGCACCATTGGTTTGGAATCGGGGTTTACCAACTACCCTTGATGAACCCTCCATGTCCACCAGACAAACAAATGGAACAGTTTATCCAAGTTATACAAGAAGTATTAAGTATACTATATGTTAAAAACATTGTCATTGGATGTAATATGCTAAAGATGTAACCATAGGAAATAACTACACGTAACTAAGATATTTATTCAATAATATTGAGTTGATTATTGAATATATTGACTAGTTTATATACACACATCAAAGAGTTTAATGAAAATAAGTAAATGTAATTGTAGATTACATCATGTTTATGAATAATATTTGACTAGTGTTCAGGATGGTTGGAAGAAAACTAGGGGTGGCCAAACCAAAACGTGGCATCAGTGTTTGGAGTCACTAACTTCTGGTCTGAGCCGTGTTGGTAGATGCAGACTACTTGGTTTTCCATGGTTTCTAGCTTTTATTGACTTATGAATTAAATTACTAGATTACTACAATCTCCACGAAACCCTTTTCCGATAGTGATAAAATACATTGTTAATGAGTAGTTGGTTATTTGTAATTTATGCTGAAGAATGGTTACTGACATGAAACATAGATCGAGTATTTCTTGACAATCAATTACAACCGCATGACCTATATATATAGACTTACGGTTCTGTTGTAAACTGGCCAAAATCTCTCATATGAGTGTTCATGACCAGCAATGATTAAATCCACACCATACTGATAAAATAAGCTTTCCAATCCCATAAGATATACAGTTTTATGATGGTCAGGTGATATGTCGAATCCGGTGCGTACAATATTGTTTTCAAAATCACAATGCATTGGATCAAAATTATTTGAACAATACATTGGTCTGTGACCTATTACAATAATCCATGGATGATTTTTTCGATTTTCTGGTTTATTCGCTTCCTTGAAAGAAATAAGCGCGACAAAACTGTCTGTCAAGTAAGTATGAAGAGTGAAATTATAAACTTATGAAAATCAAACATGTATATGATACACAAAACATTTCACTTCAAAACTCTCACAAATGGAACACAAAACATATAATGAATGTTTAAATCAACACGTTAAAGGAGTGGTAACTACGTCCTGTAAATCTAGCAATCTTACAATGAATCTAAGAGAATTGACATCTTATTTGTTTTTTTGATTGGCTTTCAGGGTTCCGATGAAACTAAGCCCATGATTTTGGAATGTTCAAATTTTTGTAGTTTACATCAAAGGCTACTTTTATTTAGGCAAACTTTGAAAACTAGGAAGTGATAGACCGCTATGTCATTCTAATACCAGACTAGTTCAAAATGTGTATATATGATGTACCATGGATCGAATTCATCTAGCTCACCGAACTTGCATCTATAATTTTTTGTAATCAACTAAAATCAATTCACAATGTTGTGCAATCGTCTTCTATTTATTGCAGTAGTAAACTAACTCATAGCTACTGTGTCTGAATCGTAACAATCATAGCTATCTATTACAACTTTTAGAATCAAGTCTCAAAATTAGTCACCGGTAAATACATGATTATTGTCAATGCAGAAGGATTATGAGAATTGTTCACATAAACAGTTCATATAAACGTACAAATTTACTAACTAACTTGCAGAGAATCAAGTCCTCTTGAAATATTTGTAATTGTAGTAATTTGAAACGAATCTTATAACGATTATATTGAAATATTTCTAACTTTAATGACCTACTGTTTCACAGATTTATTTGTCATTACATGGATATCTACTTTACATATTACTATTTACTATCAATGGAGTTATTCACAAAAATAAACTTTCTAAACAAAAAACCTACTTAATGGTTGAATTCATGAGTCAATTAAAGCTAGACCATCGTGAAAAATCTGGAAACACTGAACGACCGTTTCATCCTAGTATGGGACTCCTCAGCAATACGCATTCACGATCCCGCCTAACGAGATCCGAACGCGAAAGCTTAACTTCTGGACCACTGAGCCGGCATTCAACGGTGTTAATGTCTAAATTCAATCAATCCACAGTGTCCACGTTGACAACAGTGTGAGTAGTATAATTTATTCACTTTTCAAAATCCATATAAATAAAAGATTCAGACACAACTGAGAGATTTTTTTTAATGTAATTAACTAATTCAAGTAAAAAGACCAGAGTTATATTTTAAAAGGTACGTTACTCCATTATGAATTTCTTTCAACGACAAACTGTTTGATCATAATTTTAATAATCATTTTACTTTTCTAATAGTATTGTGAATCAAACGGATAAACTACCGATTTACAAACATGGTGGTACACCAAAATACTATGTCAGTTACAGACAGTGAATTGTTCAAGTGTTTAAAGTAGCATGGAATTTACTTATCTGAACGAAATAATTTTATCTCATTTATTGGTAAGGCGGATGTTTATCTTTGTAGACTTGATCTTTTCATGTGTTGTCATTAGTCAATACTGTACAGCTGTCAACGTATACATAAAAAGTCTATTCATCTATATTACGTGGGTTTTTTTATCGAAACAGTTCTATAACCTCATTGCAAATTCGATGGAGAGAATCAAATTGAAACATAAACATAAACACGATCGCAAATCAGGTTATTTATTAGTGTGCATGACTAAAGTTGTGTAATTGACTACCTTATTAACTAATTCCCTCAGTATTCAGTGACATATATATCAATATATATATGTTCAAGCAAAATTTCATAAACTGACCGCTAACTTACTAAGCATAAAATTCAGAACATATGTTTCTTGGTGTAAAATTAATACCTATTCAAATAATCATAATCCAATTTTAAGTGTGCCATTTCTCAAAACTGTGATATCCTAAAGTTTATGTCGAGACTCTAAATTATGGACTAGCTAATCAGAATTAGGATAAGGGTTTTAAGATTTTGGCGCGAAATTCACTCATCCATTTGACCAAATGGCGTCTTGGTATTTTAGCTGATGTTAGTTGGTGATGAGAAACCGTAAATTTAATTCCTAACCCTAACCATCCATTGTGAATCATAATATTTATTCTTCAAACTGCTTTTTAACCATCATTTAACCTTAGTAAGTAGGTAAACACTCTCAGAGTCAGTTTAGCGTCACTCGATTGTCGTCCATAAATCATAGTTTCACCAAATAATTTATTTCATATATGATGATATTTTGGAATACATTAATGTCAGTTTCAAAAAGTTAAACTTTTGATAAAATTAATATTTTCGTTTTAGTTATAGTTACTGACTATTCTAGTTTAATGAGTTAAAGTGTCATAGATTTTGTGTGACGAAACCTGTTTTAATCTATATTTCACTCCAATATTATTGCAATTCAGGATTCACATTATGCTTCTAAATAGACTAGAATACTTTTATTGATTTTATAGACAAACTACAATTAAATTCATTTTGTATTGTTTGTTTGAATCTTTCCATTGATGTTTAGAACTGCAATTGGTCAGACTCTTATTGTCATGTATGTATCCTGAGCGGATCACCTCAATACTGCCTTAAGTCACAAGCATTATAAGCAAGGATAGATGGAAGCTAGCAGTGGAATCCTGGACGTGCATTTCATCCTATTCGGGAATAGTCATTTGGGTTGGTTGTTCAATGATTTATCAATACTAAACTGAATTTCTTATGAATGATTAATTATCTTGACTTTTTCAAACAAGTTTGTGGGTCGCATTTGTTGTAAGCTTTCTAAAAGCATAACTGTAGACAAAATAAAACACATAGCTTAATGACATATTATAGGAGATTAATCTTACTTGTAAATCTTTAATCAACCAATCATATTGCATCACTAACGTTTTCCATCCATAAAATAAAAAGTAATATAATTCACTAGAAAATGCCACAATATGCGCAGGTCCAACGTTAAAGCTAAAAGTGTATAAAGTATGACAATACGTTTCTCATAACAGTATCCATCATGAAGGCAAATGAAAGTAAATTAAAAATGTGTTGTTAGTTCATTTCGGAAGTCATTCAATCTCTTGAAGTTATAATAATTCAATTATCTTTATAAGTTTTTCTTGTAGTGTAGAAACCTAATGAAAGCATCATAACTTAGTCGACTTTTATGCGTGTTTCTTTTTTTTGCTGATATATTTTTAATTACTTTTACCGTCTTATCATCGCTGCAAAAAGTAGCTGACCTTTACACTTACGGATCATCCAAAGTGTAATGCCTATGTATAGTAAAATCTGAATAAAACTCTATCAAGAGCAACATAGGAGGATAATTTCATAGGATGCCCACATCTTGATATTCGGATCATAAGCTTGGTGTGCCTGTAGCTCTTCTAGAGTTACTACCGGTCCCAAGCCCTGGTAAAGGAGGAGAAAACTAACTCGCTAAAAAAACGCTAACCAGAAAAAATACTTCGAACCATTTAAACCCTGTCCTTGGAGTTAGAATTTCTTCATTTAGAAGAATTATGACGCTTCATGGCGAAAGCCGTGTTTCTTCTGAAGCCACGAGGCCGATGCGCCTTCTAACAACCAGAGCAAAAATTTTTATAGGTACATTGATATTGCATGCTTACATCTTGATATTTCGATCATAAGCTTTGTGTGCGCTGAAAAACTGTTTTGCCAATAAATTAGTAAAAAATAAATCTCCATACATGTGTCAAATATTGGTTTTATTGGTAAAGCTTCTGTCTATTTCATTTAAAAGATACATGAATGATCACATAGTAAGCTTATTTATATTTTGCTAAATATTGTATGAGTTTGTTAAAATGATAATATCATCTGAATAATAGTTCAGGTGGCCTGCTTGAATATCTGGGTTATCTGTTCCTGCTATCTGAATATTTCAACAAGTTATCTGTTTTTGCTTGTTTTAGCACATCATAATGTCCATTAACCGCATAACCTATGTAGACACGTTTATGAAAGGTTTACGACTTCTCACTGCACCGAAATGCCCTGGTGTGGAGAGTCTGCTCTCCCTTTCCAAGTGCTCTCACTTGGTCACGCGTATATAGCCACTATCAGGTAAGTCCTACTCAATGCCTTCTCGCACCAGGAGTGTTGTTTACGAAACTGAGAGTACAAAAAGCGAACGCCCGGCGCTTTAATCGGGTTGGAGTATCTTGATTCCAAAGCAGTGCCGTGCATGGGCTACAGTATCCTGAAAGCTGCCATGGGACTGCATCTCTTTACGTTGCTCATCTGCCTTATGGATCAGACCTTTAGGTCAAAGGCTCTGAGTGCGGTCCCCTAGGAAAACCACCTGCTTCGGTCTGGGTGTCCGGGCAGTATCCCAGCTGTCACACAAATCGCATTATTTATGTGGCGCATATGTATTCGGTGCTCCTTTGTACCAATATTTATGTGATCAAATAATAATAATAATAAAGTCCTCTACTTCTGTAGCATCAACATATTTGGAACATCAAAACAAACGTATAACTAATTGATTTCAAAGGTTTAATTTCTGTTTTAATCGGACATTAATGAAACATTGAAAAACAGTGATATGAATTGGCAAGTTGTCCATTTACATTGATAAAATTTTTTAGTATAATTAGATAGCAATATTGATTTACCTATAAAATTGTGATTCACCATCACCTCCAGGCATTGTGAATCTTGCTTTGTAATTTGAGAAATTGCTAAAAAAAAGCGTTTATTAAAGAAGAAAATACAGATTAGCTGTTAAACTATGATAATCTATTTCTTTATTTTAAAGAATTGTTGTCAATTGACTTTCTATCAACTAGTAATCGTGCACTTAGTACAAAAACTTTTCTTTTATTTACATAGTATTGTATTAACAGGACTAGGAGACAACGGCCGCATTCCTACAATTAAGGAACATATGGAACTTAAAACAACTGTCTATCAACCAACATCGAAGTCAGAATCTTCAATACGAACATCAAGGCAGATCTACTGTATGGAGCTGAAACGTGGAGCAGTATCACAACCATTATCAAAACATACAAGTATTGATAAACAGTTGTCTACACAAAATAATCAACTGGTGTTCATCGGATACCATCAGGAACAGCGTTCTGTGAATGAGAACAAACCAAATTTGAGCTGAAGATGGAATTGGGTAAAAGACTTTCGAAGTGGATATGATATACATTGCGGAAATCCTTAAACTGCATCACGAGGCAATCTCTGACTTGGAATCCTGAAGGGAAACGGTTGACAAGGTGACCAAAGAACACATTGCGTCGATAATTGGGAGCAGATATGAGAAAGATGAATAGCAACTGGAAAGAACTGGAAGGGATTTCTCAAGACAGGGTTAGATGGGGAGTGCAGTTGGGCCGCCTATATTCATCCACGAGGGGTGACATGCGCAAGTAAGTAAGGAATTTTTAAACAGAATACATTACCGTTAGTATTCAGATCGGTAAAATTATATAACAAGGCACTGATGCATATGACTTTATGCACAACCCATTGATACTATAAAAGTAGTTTGTCTATTTTTTAACAGTTGGAAGTTTACTTCATTAGATATCGGCTCAGTGGTCTGGAGGTTAAGCGTTCGAGCGCGAGACCGAAGGTCCTGAGTTCGAATTCGGTGAGCGAGATCGTTGGTGCACACTACTGAGGAGTCCCATATTAGGACGAAACGGCCTTCCAGTGCTTGCAGGTTTTCCATGTTGGTCTAGCTTCAATTGACTCATGAATTCAACTATAAAGTTAAAACAGTACAAAGTAAACTACTGTCAGATGTAGGTGACTTAGTTAAATCAGTTTTTCAGCAGTCGATAACAAAGCTAAAATTTATATTTCGAGTATGAGATGTAAAAATCGTACATATTCATGCTTAATCCTACTGAATCGAGAATGTTTTTTACATTGCAGTGTGGATTTTATTTTCACATCTGATTGAGAAATTATATAGTGTACAATGCGATGGATTTCAAAGTGAATTCCAATTATTGAGATCAAAAATTGTCATACTGTGGTATGTGCTACTTATGTCCACATGAGTAGTATATAACGCTAGTCAGGAATAGGATGTCTGGAAGCAGAAGGTTGAGAAGATCGAGGAGGGAAGAACTGGAACAGAAAGCAATTCGTATGAAAATGCAGGAACAATGAAGTCTGTGACACTTAATAAACATTTTGCATATGAAGTATCGGAGTATGGTCTTTCTATTTTATCAAGTAACTCTGGTTGTCCTCACCTGTGTTCTCCTTCATCACAACACTACTGTTTAATTTTCTTTGTAGAAAACTAAGAAACTAATTGAAAATAAATTAAACAAAGTTCGTTCACTTACTAAGCAGCTTCATGGTTACCAACACATGTCATATAAGGAACTTTTGATGCAATTGGTTGTATATTACGCATAAATTGATCACCAACTCTTGCATTATCCTGAAATTTAGTTTCAACATGAAAAACATGTATCAAATTATTGAAAGACTTTTCAACGTTACTTCTATAAGAGTAAGAATATTCAATTGCGACACACAAAGGTTACAATTACTAACAATGTAGTGCAGAAATTGATGTTAAGCATTTTTATCAAGAATTTACTATACTGACAAAGAATATCTTGTTTAGTTGAGTATCATCTGCGGAGAAACTGTAAAGAATTAAGGGCAGCTGTTTGTGTTATTGCTGATCATGTTTACAATGACACATCTTGATGGTTTTCATATCTATCCAACAATAAAATGACTTCTAATTTTGTCATCCATGCATCTACATTTTCGACTCATGAATCAAATAAATGAAGTACATATCTACTAGTCTATCAAATTACTTTTATTTTCTCATATTGAAATACTAAAATTCAAAGAATGGTACATAGAAATATGTTATCAGTAATTTCAATAGTTCAGATCATGTGTCAATTGAGGCTAGACCACCATGGAAAACCTGGAAACACTAGGTGGTCGTTTCGTCCTATTGTGGTACTCTTCAGTAGTGCGTATCCACAACCCCGCCTCGTGGGATTCGAACTCAGGACCTATCAGTCTCGCGCGTGAGCGCCTTACCTCCAGACCACTGAGACGGTATCTAACGGTGTTAGTGTCTAACTTCAACTAGTCCACGAAATCGAGCGACGCATCTCAACTAGTGAAAATACTACAATCTCCACAAAACCCCTTGTGGTAGTTATCAGTATTTGTTATAGTGTCGGTTGTTATGTTAAGCACACATTGATTATTCTAGCTTACACATTTTGACCTTCTTCATTAATCACTTATCAACTTTGACTGATTTTATTTGAGCGTATATGTGTGCATTTCCCATCTTACTCATTACATGTCTGTAACTTATTTTTTTGTAACTAGAAATATCGATTAACGCTTGATTAAATCGAGTTGGCTCACACGCATTCTCCACTGCGCGTTATTTCGCTTCTCTCACTTCTCTTTACTTCCTTCACATCGTCTCCCCGATTGTCCAGATCAACGAGTTTACAAAATATATGTATTCAAAATTTCATTGTCGCATTTAACTTATTTAGTTCCGTTATTTACTAACGCGATTCAAGTCGTTCATTATATACGAGGATTGGCGACATATATATTTCGACAGCCGTCATTCGATAACGATCATTCGTCTGATCTAACTGGAGTCAGATATCCAGGGGCCACTAAACACTTTTGTAAATAGTTAAGTTCATGAACATTTACTGGCGGAAGTTTTAAGTTAAACCTAGGAATGATTTTGTCAGAAAGTGAAGCACATTGTTCTAATTTCTTTCCCAGAATAAAGAAGCTGTTTGTATAGTTGGTAGATGAACTAACATACAAAAGGTTTCTATTCAGCTATATTACTTCTAAATATGATTTCACTCATTAACGATCATTACTAAAGTTATTTTTCAAGGTTTATACGCGTTTTAAATAATTTAGCCTAGAAACTACCATTAAAATATAATTAACAAAGTATACAAATTATATAACGAGCATTATTCATGTACATAAACCTTTTCTGGGCAATAATATAGAGCACTTAATGGACATTTACTAACAAATATAGAAGTGACCATTGGATATACTCTTGGATAGTTCCAAAGGCTATATCAAACTGGAAAACGACATCTTTCTGAGATCTCATGAACATCGTTGGCATATGATTTCAAAAATCCTCAAATAGTGTTATATGTGCTATATTCCGTTCAGAGATATTTGTTTACCAGTATTACTCCACTAAAATACGACATCGGTCTTTAGCCAGTGTTTATGTTATTAATAGGTTGAAGGTTAGTTACTTACTGAATCCATATTATAGGCGAAGTCACCAACATGTAATACCACATCATAACTATTTAAATCTTTGACTTGATGAATTAATTCGGGTAGTGAAAGTGCATCAGCTGTCCCCATATCTCCATAAACTGCTATTTTAGGTGACCAATAAGGATGAGATGGGAGAGCACGAAATTTCAAAACATCTGACCAACCATCTAAACTACCACATTTATAATCTGCAAAGCGAAAAATATATGATAAGCCGAAAGACTATCTGAGTTTGACATCTGACACTGCTACTTAAACTGAAAAATCATCTTAGTTCTCAGTTAATTACTAGGTCATTTGAAATAAAATGATATCGATTACTTCATTGTTTATACTCGTGTGCTAGTAAAGCGGTAGCCTATGCAGAAACTTTACTAATTACGATAACTCATCTAGTACAACTAGTCTGCTCTCTGCTGAGAGGAATTTGTACACTCAGAATAGTATCGAATCTTTCAGGGATGTTACTAATTTGTTGTCTATCAGCTAATGAATTCACATAGATTTGGGATATTAACTAGCGAACAGCAGCCATTCCTAAATGTGTCTAGTCTGTTGGTCGTGCATTGTCAGGCGAACTATAGAGTATGCTCTTGACTTTAGTTTTAAGTGTTTCAAGGCGATAAGCAATAAATTAAAAACCAAAGTTTCATGCTAACTATTATCTGTAACCTCTAAATCACAATCGTACTAGATAAAAAGTGGCTTGAAGTTTGAAATTTCATTGGTTTCATCCTAGTAAACCTTTATTTAGAAAGGTTTTTATTACTGTTTGGGGTCGCTTACTCCAGGCCTAACTTTCTTCCTCTACCCAGGATTGAGATCACAATAATCCTGCTAAGGCTTAGGACAGAATTACTTATTTTAGGAGATTAGGTTCGAATAATTTATGATTTGTTTAAACTCAGTGTTGTAGACATGAGAAATCGACGACTCAGCATTTTTCAGGAGAGGTATGAATAAATGTTGTCAGGTATGATTCATTTATAACAAAGATATATATATTCAGAAAGGTTATCATATTAACGAACTGTGGATGTCAGTAAAGAAAAATATCCTTTTTATTCATAGAAGGATTTTTTTAAACTTACAATAAGTTGTATTACCAATTAAATCGGATAAGATCACTCGATGTATATACATTTTGCGTTGTTCACGTCCTCCATCAATAAACTCTTTAACGTAGCCAGTACTTTTCATATTTAACAGCATAGTACCATAGAGTACAGTTGAACTCTCTGTATTTTCTTGTGTAACCCAAGTAATACTTATGGTGGATGGTTGCTCTATGATACAAAAATACTGTTATTTATATGGTGTTAAACATCTTCACAAAAATGATTCATCAAAATGAACAATTGAATCATGTTCATAGAAACAGTTAACACTGTTTCAGTGCCTAGCTATACAGAGGTGTCATACAACATTTCCGAATGATTATTATGAATAAATTGGTTTACTATTTAAAACCTCCGTTTGTATGTACTAAAATTTCAACTTAGATGCACATTTGTGTTGGAAGAAAAGTACTCTATCAATGTCAAGGATTGATAATAACTTTAAATAAATTGGTCATTTAGTATAATATTAATAACAATCGAGATGGACGCGCAATTTCGTGGATTGGTCGAGGTTGGACATTAACACCGTTGGATGCCGGCTCAGTGATCTAAAGGTTACGCGCTCGCGCGCGAGACAAAAGGTGCTGGGTTCGAATCTCACGAGCAGGATTGTGGATGCGCACTGCTGAGAAGTCCCACAATAGGATGAAACGGCCGTCTAGTGCTTCCAGGTTTTCAGTTGTGGTCTAACATCAATCGGACCATAATCTCAGTTAAAAACATAATAATCTCCACAACATACACGAGGGAAAAATCAAGATCGTCAAATATAACATGGAAAAGAGTAACCTAATAAAACTTTATAGAGAAGCTCTGGAAAGGGTAGAAACGTTCAGTTAGCTGGATAGCATCACCGATGAACGCGGAGGATCTGAAATAGATGTGAAAGTAATGATTAGCAAAGTAAGGGAGAAATTCTTACTGTTGAAAAGCATATGGAACTCAAAACAACTATCTGTCAACCATTGTTAAAGTCAGAATCTTCAATATGAGATTCATGACAGTTCCACTGTTCTGAACCGAAATCATTGAGAACCAGAGTGGAATTGGAAACACACATGGAAAGGATTAATAGCAACCAGAAACAACTTGAAAGGATTGTCCAGGACAGAGTTGGACGGAGGATACTGGTAGTTGACCAACGCTCCTGCTCGAGGGGCAACAGGCATAAGTAAGTAAGTATTTATTTATCTGAACACATAAATATTGGTAAAAGAGAGCGCCAATATATATGCGCCACACAAAACAATGAGAATTCGAAGAGAAAGAAAAAGAGGTAAGGAGCGTGAAAAAAAGAGAACAATAACGAACAGATTAGTGTAAGGTAGCGTAGTGATATTAATAGTAATAATGAGGGAACGGAAAGGTACAATCAGAAGAAATCTCTCAGTTAAGCAAGATACAACCACATTTTTTATGAAGAAAGTAAAAGAAGGTTAAAGCAGGATCGCCACTGCCTTCTATTCTGAGCCATATCTGATAACGTCTCTAGCCACTGTATAGCACCATCTCTCGGACGCCAGCCAGGGAATCGTGAAGGACCAATAGAAGCTAGCCCTTTGCAGCTTTCTTTCATACCCCAATACCATGTCATGCACTGACCACCTCTCCGCTTTTCCCAACCAGTCCCAGAGTTGGCAAATAATGCACGACGTGGAATTCTCTGGGACGACATTCGTAGAACATGTCCAAGCCACCGAAGTCAGTGTTTCAAGATGGTGACATCGACTGCATTGTCATCTTTGTGCCCGAACACACGATACCGAAGCTCTGCATTACTGACATGGTGTTTCCACTAGATGTCAGCAATCCTTCGGAGACAGTGATGATCGAACACAAAATCGTCTAACATCTTCAGCTCGGAGAGGCCAGGTTTCAAAAGCACAGAGCAAGACTGCTCTCACCGACGCGTTGTAGATCCAACCTTTTACAGCCAGATTAACATCACGAAGGCGCCAAAGGTGGCCCAGATTGGCATAAGCCGCTCTGGCTTTCATTATACGTGCATTGATCTCATCACTCAAGCCACCACCAGCATTTATGCAGCTACCCAGATACACGAACTTCTCGACTACTTCTATCTGCTCACCATCCAGGGTGAGTACAGGATTAGAATTCTGCCAGTCTTGTAAAAGTACTTTGCACTTCGAAGGTGCAAAGCACATGCCATACTTACGGACACTGATTGCCAACTGATTAAGTGCGGATCGCATGTCATGGGCATTATCGCACAGTAAGACAATATCATCCGCATACTCAAGGTCGAGAAATCTTTCTCCAGGCAACAGATCCACAACACCATCACTTACATCCATCAGAGCTGTTTCCAGAATGTCGTCGATGGCAAAGTTGAAGAGGAATGGTGAGATTGGGCAACCCTGCCTAACCTCACTGCTCGAATGGAACAATGGAGAGAGGTGGTACATACCAGATGCAGCTGCTGCTTCCAACTCATTAGCACGCTTTGACCACCAGGCTTCTCGGTCCTAACGCAGGCTTTGCCCACTTTCCTTACGTAACACCCTTCGTTTATGGTCAAACTCACAGTCACCCGGAGTAGACCGACGGGCTTCAATGAGTTGTAAGGAGCCTGAAGAAACCCAGTGCTTATAAGCCGGACGTATCGCGAACTCACAACTGACTGTACCCGACATTTTCATGGCGTCATGCAATTGCAACCAATGCTCATCTATACTTTTCGGTGGAGTGGTAGCTAGCCTAGAGGCTAGCTCGGTTCGATACTTACTAGCAACAGAAGCTGCAACCAGCTTACTAACATCAATCCGTTGGTGGCGGTCACTTCGTTGTCCACTGAAAAGTAAGGTAAGATTGGCGCAGACCAAGGCATGATCAGAGTCCAGAGAGGTACTCCAAAAGGAGCGGCAGTCTTGTACACAACCACGCCAGCGGTAGCTGATCGCGATGTGATCAATCTGAGTCCAGGCTTGAGATGCAGAGGGAGGACGCCAGGTGGCACATCGGCGATGACTGTGTCGAAAGTTAGTGCTAGCCAGAAACAGGTTGTGGTCTGTGCAAAGTTGCAGTAGACGGTCCCCGTTATCTGACCTGCGACCAACGAGTCCCCATCGGCCACCTAAACGACTCTCTTCTGTGCCTAGACGCCCGACCTGAGCATTCACGTCTCTGGCTAGTACTACAATATCTGTCGAACGCACTTTCTGGAGAAGAACAGATAACTGGTGGTAAAACTCATCCTTGATTGCATCCGGGCTGCAATCTATCGGGGCATAGGCGGAGATGACGAAAAGACATCGTTTCTCACACCAATTTCTTCTCACTTTGATGGAACTTTCTAATCTAACAGTACATAACCGACTGTTAATGGAGATCCAATCGATTAGTGCTGCCTCAGCTCTAGCGCTTAGTGCGACAACAACGCCAGCAAGACCAGACGAAGATGTCACAGGGTCTTCGGATAAGCGCACGTAAAACAAGCTTTTCGAAGCGACAGATGGAGAGCGAATTTGTAGTACTTCACCAGAGTCTTGAGTACGGGTCTCGGATAGACAGCAGACATCGATATTAAGACTTTCCAAAGACATAGCCAGCCCTATCTGTTGTCCAACCTGCATAAGTGTGCGAACGTTGAAGGCAGCCAGTTTGAATGGTGCACGTGGTTTCAGAAAAACTGCCTCAGCACTCATATTCGGTGGTAACATACAATTTTCAACCAGACAGTGACTCGAGAACGCTTAGATACAGTCGAATTTCCACCAAAGACGAGCCGCTGTGTAAGTATAAAAGAGGGTGAATAATGTGGTAAATAATAATAATAATTTGATTGTTAGTTGAAGCAAGTAAAGTAGTTTCCATAGATATAGAGAGTTCATTATTTGCTTGTGTGCTGCCATACTGCTGAGGTGCCCAGACCGAAGCAGGTGGTTATCTTGGGTGAACACACCCCGAGCCATTGACCTAAAGGTCTAACCCACAGGGCAGTGGAGCATCGTAAGGAGATGTAGTCCCATGATGGCCGGTGACCAACGATTAGTTCATACGCCATTTGTTCCCGCAGGGTACTGGAGCCCATGTACATCATTGGGTTGGGATCCGGTTAAAGCGCCGGACATTCGCTTTTCGTCCTCTCATTTTCGTAAACAACACCCCCGCCATGAGAAGGCAATGAGTAAGACTTCCCTGGCAGAGGCTGTAAGTAAATATAATCAAATAGATGTACATCCATTCTTTGCGTATTTGTGTTTTTAAATTGACCCTCAAATATGCCTCATCTCAAAAGATAAATTGATTATATCTTGTTTTATTACATATTCATCTAAAATGTTTATTGTTGGTGATATGAGGTTCTAAAACTATCTAACTCATTCGTTATATGGACTTAATATATTGTTACTTATAAAATAAAGTGTCAGGAATGAATATACTTTTGGTTGAATTTTTACCTTAAAATAGCATTGAAATTTAAATCTGTCGAGTACTCAAGCTATTACTTCATAGAGACTCCTAATGTAAGCTTAGAAAGCTATTAATAAGAAGCTGATTGATAGATAGGTTACAATCCAAAAAACAATGATGTACTTACCTCCTAAAGCAATATGTATTTGCTCTGGTATCTGAGATTCCATATATCCGTATACATTCCAAGTTCTAACATGATACAAGTTAAGAAACAATGGTATAATAACTAGAATATACATTTTATACTAACACTATTATTAAGTTTCTATTTAAATATATATTCATGATATTCATATATAAATGGATAATTAAGATAACGAACTGAATGTGTAACAGCACATTTATATTCCAAGGTCATGTTTTATGATATATCTATTATTACTTACAATTCTAATCAATAATGTTTAGCTCTGATCATATATGTATATAGACTTTGAACACTTCCTGTTTATCTATTGAAAAATAAACAGAGAATACTAGTTATATTTAGATAGAAACATAGATTTTGTTATTTATTGAATTCTATTTGACTTCATACAACATGCGAATAAATGACAAATAGATTATACGAAACTAAAAATATTCCTTTGAGAGTCAACTATTTCTAAAGATTATTAGAGAGGGCGTTTGTGAAGACTGTAGTGACTTTTAATGGTTGAAGCAAGATCACCATGGAAAACCTAAAAGCACATGGAACGATCATTTTGTCCTAGTATGGGACTCCTCAGCAGTGCGCATTTAATTATTTCCAAAGATTCACTGATAGATTTATCTATTTATTTATTTATCAGTGTTAAATGAAACGCGTAATTTTACTATCTCATGTTGTTCTTTTAATTTACAGTTTCGTTTTGAAGTGTTATTGAAAATTCATTATTGAATGTTCTAAATTTTTGTTAATTACAAAGAATTCATCTACATGTTATTGTGAATTCTTGGAAGTATGAATAATTCAAACTAACCAGTGAATAAATTCACTTGATATTGTCTACTTGGATCTTCCCATTGATGGTAAGGACTGAAATTGATCAGTCTCCTGTTGACATATGTTCATACTCTGCATGCTGCTATGATAATGACCTAATACACAAGTATTGTGAGCAAAGATGTTTTGCAAACAAGTGACTGATAGAACTTAGTAGCCAAGTGGATAACGCGATGTTGTTTGAAGCGAACTGTACTGGTTTTCACTTCCGGAATAAACATCAACACTGCGATGCAAGTATATCCAGCTGACGAGTCCCTAGTAGGACGGAACTTATATCATGGATTCCACTATTAGCCTCTTACCATCTTTAATAAGTGAATAATTTGACTAATATTTGTGACCATTGCACACACGCTTAGGGGTAAACAGATTGCTGACAATTAAAATGACAGTTGTCTTTGGCTTCAACTAAAGAATCAGCTTCAGTTTTATAAGATTACAGTCGTTGTAGATGTTCACAAACTTATGAGTCATGTCACACGTTACCTTTCTCAAGTCGATTATACTTTTTATTTCCTAACAACATCTAAGAACTACTCATATACGGATGCTAGTTCCATGTGCGTAGTGTCAGTGTCAGTGTCAGTTGGTGTTGATTTGTCACCATACAACGAAATGCCGTCATTGTGTTAGCCGGTCTATCCGGATACACAAAATCAACCAACAAAACATCAAGCCGTGTTGGAGAATACAGCTGGTGCAAACGAACGCAACTTTCGAGTGAAGCAAACACTCCATATCATCTTTCGCCTACGTCAATCGTTCTAGGTTTTGGACAGATCATTCAATATTGACTCACTATCCACAAGTGTATTTTAATCTGCCAGTTATTCGTCTGCATCCTAGATCGTATTTCCGGAGCGTGTCTGTGCGCTCGTTCACCACGTACCCTCTTCGTCAGATGTCTGTAGCCTATTTTCCTGTTCAATTGAAGCGTATTAGAACAAGATAACAAGAGATTTGCAAACGCATGTTTATTTGTCTGTGGATTGGATTATGTGGTTCAAATGTCTATATTCCTTTATCGGTTTGCGCCATACCTCGTGATGATGGCGTATGTGGTTTGCGTTTTGGTTTCCCTTTTCCTATCTTCTTCACACATCTCTGTTCACATTCTTGCAGTGTTGGGAACCTGTTTCTATTGCCTCCTTCACCTTTGTAGATAAATGGCATACATTTCTTCTCCTGTTTATTGTAGTAGAACACGTGTACTTCCTTGTCTCCTTCTCCAGCATCGACTGGCCTCATGCATTCTCCTGTTTGAAAATGGCAAAACACAAAACAATCAATGAGCACTATAAACACGGAATCAAGTCTCTGATTAAACGAACTAGATGACACAGGCACGTGCATCGGGCAAAGAGAGATGTCACTAGTGAGCGATGCGCTCACAAATCATGGTTTTTGCCCGCCTTCAGATGTGTGTTCCGAAACCTTTGTAAGGCAAATCACAACCTCCAGTGATGGAAGAACAAATGTGCTCTCACGGACCAAACATATGCTTCGACATATGGAATGGCGTTCTGTTTGTCATAGCCAGAGTTCGTTCGGAACTTCCATCGATATCAGTCGACGGACTCTTGGAAGATTGCACATCATGTTTTTCGGATTTTGATGAGCATACGAACAGTTCAATAACGCTCATCCTAACATACAATTTACTATGGAACACGAACAGAATGGCATGTTCCAGTTTCTTGATGTTGCTATAAAACATAGGAGAGACGGGACAGTCCAACGTTCGATTTATCGAAAAAGTACTTGGAATGGCATTTACCTGAATTCCAATAGCTTTTGTCCACTGAGTTACAAGAAGGCATTAGTTAAAACACTATTTTATAGGCAGAAAAGATATGTACCACTGACAAACTCGAAGAAGAATTGACGAAAGCGGAAAAATGCCTGCGAGACAACTTTCACCCACAAAAGTTAATTAACAGGTATAAGAAGCGTAAAGAAAACAATACTTAAGTTATTACTGTCAGTAAAAAACCAATAACTATAAGTCTTAACTCCAAAGGTGACGAGGTTGCAAACACAATCAACAGGAGACTGAATACTGCGCTAGCCAGAACTTATCCGGCGGCCAAACTTCAAATTATGTATAAAACAACATGCTCAATAACTCAGTCAAAAGTTGATAAGCATCCTTTTCATGTTACAGCCAATTGTATTTATAAATTTACGTGTACCTGCCAAAGCAGCTACATTGGCCGAACAGAAAGGAGGGCATATCTCAGATTTCTTAAACATGTTCCAAAAAGCCTCAGTACAAGAGAAAGAAAGACTCTAAATAGTGCAATCACCAAACATCTTCTTGATATAGGACATCAGGTTGATACCCTACAATCATTCAAGGTGATTAGTAAGCAGCCAAACTCCAGTCTTCTGAGGTTTGCTGGAGCAGTTGCTATCAGGCGCCAAAAGCCTGATTTATGTGTTCAAAAGGAGATGGTTAATAATCTTTCCTTGCCGTTGTGATCAATATTCCTTCGTTATATCTTAATAATTTTTTTCTTCTTCTTTAAACTCTTTCTTGCATTTATCACAACATTGAGTTTCTCTCCAACTATCTTATTATACCAACTGAACTCTACTCATTTTATTCCTATCAAGGTTTATTTGTTTCTAACCGTTTGAATTAATGTCACACTGTTCCTTCATCACATAAGGTATATATTTACAGTATTAAGTCTATTAAATTTATTAACACCCTTGCTTTACTATATGAATATGTCTGTAATACAACTTCCAACCAAACTCTTTCATGTAAGTAATTTAAACCCATTAATTATGATTTTAAATATCACAGGTTGTAAGCAGCTAACGAGAACCAACGAAATAAAAATGAATTCATGATATTTTGACAAAATGTTTATTCTCGCTCTTTTCAAAATGATAAACGGAACTATGTGTATGAAACATATGAACAGTTCAACCGCAATCACAACACAATTACGGTGAAAACACTGACATTAAGAGCAAACAACTAAACTTACGATGGAGTTTATCGGCGAACACAATCTCACACGAGACGACCAATGCAAGTAGGAGTGAAACCTTGATGCTCATTTTTCAGTGACTATTTCGTGTTCGTGTGGTTTGTTTTAGGACTCCACTCTGAGCTATTTATACTCACAAACCTGTGAGTTAGCCAGTTGTTTTTGGTTGACACACAGTCGCAACTGCTCAAAGAAGCGGATTGGTAAATGTCATGCAATCGATTCCTAGGATTAGTAATTCTGTTTGAGTGATTCACATGAATCAGGTCAACACACTTCACAAAGTTCTATTCAAGTCAATCGAGATTAAGGTTGTTGTGTGTTGCGAACTCGCTGTGTTGTGTCCTCATCAAAAGGGTTATTATGATATGAGGATTGTGGCCTGATGTGGCGAGGTGAAACTAGTTCACAGTGAGGATTATTCAAGAATCGATAGGCTTTGCTGTCAGTTGATCAGGTCACATATAGGAAAATAATGAACGGTTTTGTTGAACAGCGAAACGTGTGATGGTTGTTATGTAGGTGACGAGGACTGTGTATTTCGAGGTACTCGTTTGAGTATTGTGAAGCATAGGTCGAGGTGTTCAGAGTCTAATTCTCATGTAAAGATGAATGCTTGCAACTCGTGTGTACAGAATTTCGACCGGATTGCCGGCCCTCTCAAACATGTGTGATCAATTATCGGCATAATCGATGATGGTCTGCAAACAAGTTGGTCCAGCCCAGCGAAATTCGTGATAGATTCCACCAAACACTTGTACTATTATCTGACAGATAAACGTAAATATTTGTGAGCGTTTGACTGTGATTAGCTGGTAGGATAACTAGTGCTCAGTTTGGGTGCTGAATGTTACGTTCAAGTCTGCACAACCAAACTCATAAACCAAATAGCTTCACGATTTCATTAGATACAGAACTAATTGTCGAATATGACCAGATATATTTATTAAAGCTCACAGGGAGTAAAAGTCACTTGAACGCCAGTCATTTCACAATCCAACAATCGGTAAATTTCAAAAATAGGCGGTCCGAAGTAATTGTGAAAATGATTGGATGTTTAAGGAAGACTAGTTGAGGAACACAATTGACTAGAGTGATTTGTGATAGTGTCAAGAAGAACATGGTCAGTTGATGTTATAAACGAAGACGAAAGCTGCAAGTGTATTTCAGTCGAAACACTGTACATCAACGTGACAGCTTTCGAACAACTCTCACCCGTTGAATATAATTGTAGTACTATGATGAAAATGACTATGATTTTGTTCAACATGTTAATAAAAGACCACGTACTTTGGTCAAGACAGTGCAAAGATTATTCATCTGACCGAAAGTTAATTGAATAGGTGCTTACATTCCACAAGCCGCTTGTTGAACACTTTGCTCCATATATGAG